CTACTTATGTGAGCAAAGCTGACAGGGGCCCGGAGTGAGAAGATAAATGGGAAGCAAGTGATTGAAAAAGTTGACATTTTATATTAGTAAGATTGTAATGAACCATTTGAAAGAAAGTAGAATATGCATAGAGCAAATTCTGTGCTTTGAGTATATTTTCATGTTCCAAAGGAAAAAGTAATAATAGCATGAACTGGCAATGCAGCAGTGAAAAATGTATTCTATTGATATCTGTAATGTAAGTTGGTACAACCTTTCTAGAAAGTAATTTGTCCATGTTTCAAGCTCCATTGATGTGTTACCTCAGCATTTACACTACTGCAAAGTGATTTTCATATAGAAACTAATCCAAGAGAAGAAGAAAGCCATCTGTAGAACCTAAATGAGGAATCATGAGGACTAAATACGGTGAGGGCTGTGTCAGTGCAGATTGAGGGAATTCAAGAAAGGTTAGAAAGGCACATTGACCCAATTGGGTGATGGAAGGGACAGATGTGGGATACAAGGTGAAGAAAAGGAAGGAGCCTAGAATGACCTCCAAGCAACTGTCTTGATTCATTCATTGAGAAACAAAATGTACAAGGAGCAAAAAATATACTAGAAAGGTCACAAACGTTTTGCTTTTGAAAACAGTCTGAAAACCACTCAGTCCTAAGCCGTTCTCCTCAGATGAGGGTGTGAAACTCAGAGGTCAACCAATGGAACTCAAATCTTAGTTAACTAATTGACTGGCAGTTCTGTTGCTATTTGGTTTCTATCTGAATGAAAAATCTCCTGCTTGGCTTTCACACTTCCTGTCAACTAGACCAATTAGGATAGCATTAGGAAATAGATTTTACTGTGGAAATCTCAAGCTTGGACCTCATTTCCCCCCAAAATAGTATCAAACTGCCTTATTGTTATTAAAATGGGAGCTTTACAATGGCATTCTTAGGTATGGTGATTTTTTTTACACCACATAATAACTTTTACTGTGATTTATTGAGTCTGTGGCCAAAAGTCTGACCCTTCTGTTCTAATCAGAGTTGCCAGATAAAATACAGATGCTCCAGTTAAATTTGAATTTCAGATAAATAATGAACACACTTTTAGTATTTGTTTCAGATAAATATTTTTATTATAATGTGTCACATGCAGGTATTTTTCATCGTGTATCTGCAATTCAAATGTAACTGGCCATCCCGTATTTTTATTTGCTAAATCTGGCAACCTAGTCCCAATATTAAGAAGGTCCATTCATTCTAATGATCCAGACATAGAATCTGGAATCTTGGTAGCCAAGGAGCCAAGTGTAGCTACTGAGCACTTAAATGTGCTTAGTCCGAATTGAGATGTGCTGTGAATGTAAAGTACAAACCAAGTTTTAAAAACCTACTATGATAAAATGTGCAATATCTTGGTAATAATTTTAAAATGGATTGCATGTTAAAATAATATTTTTGATAGCTAAGGTTAAATTAAATATATTTAATTTTAACTGTTTCTTTTACTTTCTAAAAATTTGGATACTGGAAAATTTGAAATATTTGGGGCTTGCACTGTATTTCTATTGGACAGTACTGATTTTCTAGATTTAAGGGAAATGCTGGGTTTTTGTTAGCTCTTTTATCTTGCAAAAGATGTTTTCAATAAGTTAAATATATACCAACAGCATAGAAAGTGAATAAAAGTTGTGCAAGGTTGACACAAAACAAATCTAGCCAACATAAACTGAGAAGAAGGAGAGTATATCTTCATTTTGATACAAATAGTTTAATAAACACCTACGGAGGGTTTTTTAGATCAGAAAACATATATGCGCTATATATAAATTAATATGAAGGATATATTATGCTTTATTCTTGTGTTTCAGCAAAACATTAGAAGTGCTGATTTCTTTGTGATATTAAAAATACATGTGGTATTTCTTCATGGGGTTCCAGTCATAATTCATTGGTGTTTAATTCTATTCAATGAGGTTAAAGAATCTTGTAGCATAGACACCTAAATTTGGAAGGAATCTCAATGAAATACCTGCTAAGGTCAAGGTTCATGTCAAAACTAATATTAACTCTTCTCTCTGCCTGTAGCGTGTGCTTTCCACTGAGAGCCCCAAGGGTTGTTCCTTACTGTGCTGAGGTCTCTGCTCAAATGTCATTTCTTTAAGAGGCCCTACTCTGACTCATTATCTAAAATAGCACCCTGTCACTCTCTCACTCTTACCCTGCTTTCTTATTTTTTCCTGTAATACTGACATTCTATTTTATTCCACCGCATCCTTTATTGTATTAATATTTTAAATTGTAGTAAGTAGTTTCTATTATTTTCTGTTTCCCCAGAAAAGCTCCATGATGGCAAAGTTATTCACTGCAGTATCTTCCGAATCCACAGAACATATGAACCCTAGTTCATAGGTCGCATTGTGATCCGATGAGTGCTCTGATATTTCCTAGTACATTTATCTTTTATCATTACTTGTTACTTAATATTTTGGTGACATCTCAAAAACTGTGTCTTTCCCATTTTGAAAATCAGGAAAATGTAACTTCTGAATATCTGTTCATTTGCTTTCTCATATTGGGCTTCTATACTGAGTCAGAAACACGGTAGATACTGGGAATACAGCAGTCATCCTATAGCCAGGTCTCCAGGGCTCAACAAGTTTGCATTCCTGGAAAAAATCTCACTGTTACTGGAAGTAAACTTTCTTTCTGAACTGGCATGCCAGAAAATTGAATCCAGGATGTACAAATCTGTGCTAAAAATTTTGTTTGCTACTTTTTAAGTGGACTTAATAAAATATGGACACATGCTTTGTGTTCAGCCTGTTCTTAACCTCTTTATGTACATTCGCTCATTTTTTCTCACTGTAACATGGAGTGCTTTCATTATCTTCATTTTTCAGTTGAGGAAACTGAAGCAGCAAAGGCATCACTTGCTCAGGTCATACAATCAGTAAGTGGCAGAGCCATAATCTGAATCCAGAAAGGTTAGCTTTGGAAATTTTTAACAACCCTGATACATAAGGTTAATGCAGCTGACCTTGTGTATTTACTAAAAGATAACTACTGTTGACCTCTTCATTGAAAGTTTAAGATCATGAGTTATTTAATTTGGTTTGGCCATGCAGTCAGTTTGGAATGTTCTTTATCTTCATCTTTACATAATCCAGCTCATTTTACAAGACCTAACATGCTATAAAATTAGCGTTTAGTCAGGAAACCAGAAACACATCTAGGCAGTTTATGAAGAAGATTGTTCGCACAGAGAGGAAAATCTAAGAAGCTAAACAGTCTAGAGGAGCAATCCAGGGGTTAGGATAACAGGGAACACTGGCCTACCTAGTTTTTTGTTTTGTCTTGTTTGAGACAGAGTCTTGCTCTGTCACTCAGGCTGGAGTGCAGTGGTGTGATCTCGGCTCACTGCAACCTCCACCTCCTGGGTTCAAGTGGTTCCCCCTCAGCCTCCCAAGTAGCTGGAATTACAGGCCCCCACCACCATGCCCGGCTAATTTTTTTTTGTATTTTGAGTAGAGACAGGGTTTTATCACATTGGCCAGGCTGGTCCCGAACTCCTGACCTCAAGTGGTCTGCCCGCCTTTGCCTCCCAAAGTGCCAGTATTACAGGTGTGAGCCACTGCGCCAGACTGACATCTAGGTTTTGAGGGATGGTGGAAGGAAGTGGGGTTACAGGAAGCTGCTACCAACCCTAGGTCTAGAGGATGGTGGCAGGAGATGGGGTTACTATTAAGTCAGAAGTTGGAGCCATCTAATGAAGCTAGAGCCATGACAGGGCTGCCTGGTGGGAGTTGGGACCAGGAGGAAACACTGTAGGAGGAAGAAAGACCTTGACTTCTCCTTTGCTTCAGTCTTTTGTTCTTTTGCCAGTGCTACCCATTGGCCAATCCTACTGGAATTTAGTTGACAAAGGAGTCTGGAAAAGGTAGATTCGTAGGATACAGAGCATGAGAATGGTTCGATAGACCAACAGGGAGTTGGCCAGCACACATGAGGTACTGTTATGTGGCGCTCTCATTTAGAGGTCCTCTGAATGCAGAATTCCCATGACCCTTACTTAGTACCTCTCCTCTTTCGCAGCATTGTAGGTGTTACTATAGTGCTGGGCACACAATCACTTATTACCTACCAGCACTGCCATGAGTGTCATTCATTTAGTAACCTCATTAACCCCTACAAGAGCCCTGCGAAGTAACAAAAACTATTATCTCGATATTCTAGATGGGGAAACTGAAGCACAGTAACGTTTTCTTCAATATCCCATAGTTAGTGGCAACACCTGAATTCAAACCCAGACTGCCTGGCTTCAGTGTCCATTCTCCTAAGCACTACCCTCCACTGCCTCTCAAGATGTTTTGTCTCTTTCACCTTTCTAACTCGGTGAGCACCAAGCACTGGGCACGATGTAGCAGATGCTCATTAAATACTTGTTGGAACAAAATGATTTTCTAATTTTAATATTATGTTGTAGTTGCTTAGAATCTTACATTTTTACAGTCACTAGGATGTGTTTTCCAAACTGTTCCTTTTCTTTATTTTTAATGTTTCAGAAATCCTACCTACCAATCTGACTGTTCATTTTTATACTTTTTCAGCTTCATAGCTGAATGTTTTGTCTGGAAAGCAGCATCCACAGGGTCAAATATCCAGGGATATTTCCTGGATATCTTCTTTAGATATCTCCAATGTTACCTAGAGAAGTGATAAAAAATACTTCTCATTGATAGGAACAAAACCAGTTATGATTTGTGTAGCCTTGATGCTATTAAGGCAAACAGTCTTTAAACAGCTACTTTCTTTTGTCATTCTGCTTGATGGCTTACTAGACTTTGAAAGTTCTACATGCATGACCTCTTTTTTTCTTTTTGCTTTTTAACATTTGAGACAGGATCTCACTTTGTTGCCCAGGCTTGAGTGCAGTGACATAATCATAGCTCACTGCAGCCTCAACCTGCCCAGCTCAAGCAATCCACC